AAAGGGGCCTCTGCTGAACCCAGTAGCTGTCTGGAGTCAGCAGGGATAATATATCCAACTATACACACCAACTGCTTCTTTATAACTGGTTACTATTAGGGATTGTTTGAAATTAACCCTTGATTAAAAATGAAGAAAGGACCTATGCCTGTGGTCTAAGTATAACCTTTAAACTGGACAGATTTTTATTCTTGTTTTTTTCATTTTCTAGGCTACAGTTTTCTCATCTTCTGAATTTGAATAATACTACCTCTTACTTCATAGGGATGTTGTGAATATTATATAACACACTGCATGTGAAAGGATAAATGTATTAGCTATTGTTGTTATTGCTATTAATATTATGTAACAATTACCAACACATGCTTATTACCTGATCAATGCCATTTTTCTGTTTAGAAATAGCATACTAAATGATATCACTTATATGTGGAATCTCAAAATACAACAAACTAGTGAATATAACAAAAAGAAACAGACTCACAGATGTAGAGAACAAACTGGTGGTTACCAGAGGGGAGAGGGAATGAGGGAGGGGCAAAATTAAGAGATACAAACTATTATGCATAAAATAAGCTACAAGGGTATATTGTAAATACAACACAGGGAATATGGCCAATGTTTTATGATAACTATAAATGGGTGTAACCTTTCAAAATTGTGAATTACTATATTGTACACCTGTAACTTATATAAGACTGTACATCAGTTATACTTCAATTTAAAAGAAAAGAGATAGGGCTTCCCTGGTGGCACAGTGGTTGAGAGTCCGCCTGCCGATGCAGGGAACACGGGCTCGTGCCCCAGTCTTCAGATCCCACATGCCGCGGAGCGGCTGGGCCCGTGAGCCATGGCCGCTGAGCCTGCGCATCCGGAGCCTGTGCTCCGCAACAGGAGAGGCCACAACAGTGAGAGGCCCGAGTACCACAAAATAAATAAATAAATAATAAATAAATAAATTTTAAAAAGAGATAGCATACTAAGGACTACAGCTTCCAAGTTTACTCACTATTTCTCCTAGAAGAAGTCAAACAATATCCTAGAATCTCAAGGAATTAGGCTCATATATGCTTCATTTTACAAATAAAGAAAGTGACTTGAAATAGTTAATGTTTCAGATGCTACAAATAAGTAATGGCAGTTCTAATGTTAGAACTCTTGACATCTAGTTAAGCAAAATTTATACTAGATAGATAGATAATGAGTAGAGACATATAGAGAGATAGAGATAGAACAGATACTCTGATTAGAAAATTGACCATGAATCCATCTAAGACCTAGATTCTAAGTATAAGAACTATTTCTCATTGTAAATTAATCTAAATTATGGACTTCCACTGTGAAATAGCAATGATTGGATTTTTCCTGAAACTCTTAGAAAAAATGAGCAAATTATATGAAACAATAGATTTTCAAGACATTGGACAGCAAGCAATGAAGGGCAGTGATCACTGAGAGACGGGAAACAAACGGGATGAGCTTTCTCCCTGCAGGGAGTTTCTAGGCCACTTGGCACAGAGAGGGGAACCCAGGCAGGGTCTATCAGTCTCTCTGAGTTGAGGAGATGGAAGTGCAAGGAAACCAAGGCAACTAGAGTTCACTGCAGAGTACCAGAGGGGACAGGACTGCAGAGAAAGAGCTCCAGGGAGTCACATCAGAATGGCTAAAATTAAAAAGTAGTAACAACGTGGTCCTACTATATAGCACAGGGAACTATACTCAATATCCTGTGATAAACCATAATGGAAGAGAATTTTTTAAAAAAAGAATTCTATATGTGTATAACTGAGTCACTCTGCTGTACAGCAGAGATTGGCACATTGTAAATCAACTATGCTTCGATAAATGCACGCGCACACGCACACACACACACACGGAAGTAGTGATAATACCAAACACCAATAAGGATGCAGAGGGACTGGATCTCTCATACACTGCTGGTGGGAATTTAAAATGATACAGTGACACTGGAAAACAGTTTGGCAGATTCTTAAAATATTAAACATATAATTATACAACCCAGCAATTGCACTCCTGGGCACTTATCCCAGAGAAACAAAAACATATGTCCCCACAAAACCTGTACATGAATGTTCACAGCAGTTTTGTTCAGATTAGCCAAAAGCTAGAAATAGCTCAATTATCTTTCAAGAGGTGAAGGACTGAACAAACTGTGGTGCTTTTATCCCATGGAATATCTATACACCTGACAATCTGCGTAGAGCTCAAGGGCATTATTCTGAGTGGAAAACTGATAATATTAAATAGTCGTTATTGTATAATTCCATTTATATAACATGGAGAACATAGTAATGTTTGCCAGGGGTTAGGATGGTAGGATAGGAATACAGATGTGACTATAAAATTGTACTACAAGGCAGACCTTTATAGTGTTGAAATAGCTCTGGATATTGATTGCAGTGGTGGTTACATGAATCTATACATGAAATAAAATGACACAGAACTCCCCACACACACACACACACACACACACACACACACACACACATTATGCTAATGTCAATTTCTTGGTTTTGATATTACACTATATATAGGTAAGATGCAGGGCTTCCCTGGTGGCGCAGTGGTTGAGAGTCCGCCTGCCGATACAGAAAACACACGTCCGTGCCCCGGTCCGGAAAGATCCTACATGTTGCGGAGCGGCTGGGTCCGTGAGCCATGGCCGCTGAGCCTACGCGTTCGGAGCCTGTGCGCCGCAACAGAAGAGGCCGCAACAGTGTGAGAAGCCTGCCTACTGCAAAAAAAAAATTTAAAAAAAATTTTTTTTTACATAATAATAAAGAGAAACACACACACACACAAGATCCTCGTCAAGACTGTCATTTACATTTTGGTGTACATCCTTGCAGTCTCCTCCCATACCACCCAACCCTGTGTTGATGCTAAGTTCAACATGTCTATTAAAATTACACTTCAAGGGCTTCCCTGGTGGCGCAGTGGTTGAGAGTCCACCTGCCCATGTAGGGGACATGGGTTCATGCCCCGGTCCGGGAAGATCCCATATGCCGCGCAGCGGCTGAGTCTGTGAGCCATGGCCGCTGAGCCTGCGCGTCCGGAGCCTCCGGAGCAACGGGAGAGGCCACAACAGTGAGAGGCCTGCGTACCAACACTTCAAGCTGTCAAATGGCAGTTGAACATAGTGAATACAGGAGTCAAGTTCAAAGGAATCTGAGCTGCAGATATAAATTTAGGAGACATCAGCATAGGACTAGGTATATAAAGTCACAAGACTGGAGAAGACTAAGTGTCAAGGGAAGGTTGGTGTTTTACTTTTTTTTTTTTTTTTAAGATGGGAAAAATAACAGCTTGTTTATTGATAATAAAGACCAAATAGAGAGGAAAAACTGATAAGGCATGAGAGCAAGGAAAGAATTGTTAAAACAATGATTCTGAGTGCTTAGACTCTGAAGATGCATTGCCTGGGTTTACGAGTATAAATGTGTTATTTTATCTATGACTTACCCTACAGGGTAGTAAAAGGGACATACAACATGTTTGCTGTAAAAGA